ATCCTTGGCTATATACCTAGTTCCAGGCCAACCATGATAGGCACAGTTACGTTTAAATTTTAATTATTATGTTTAAGAGATTCATGAAACAAAAATGCCTCTGACATATATGCCCCTTCCCAGAGGACAAATACTTCCTGAAATGCTGGAGACTATTATTTATGGGAGTAACATCCACATGTTTTCATTTCCCTAAGCAAATTAGTTTGATCCAACTACTCCAGATGTGCTTGATCACATGTAGGCAGGAGGTATGGTGGCAGGAAATATGCTTTCCCCTGATTGGGCCTGATGGCAAATATGGTGAATTGTGGGTTTTGCCTTTTTAAATCCCCAAAACCATAACTAGGGGCCATTTTTCTGGAAACTCCGAGATAGAATTGGCCAGAGAGTCCATCAACCTGACCAGTATTTAATTAAAGCTTCCTTCAAATTTGACTTCGAATTGTGATGGTGGTCTTATTCTGGATTGGTAGGGTTAACACAACTGAGGCCAGAGACCTTGCCTCCCCCACCTCCACTGCCCCCCAAAAGTGAATGCATTAGGGACAGAATATAAATAAATGAACCAAGAAAACTACATTCCATCATTCATCAAGTTTGTGTAAAAAATGCAGGGACCCCAAATTTAAGAGCCCAAATTATTGTTGAAAGCTGATTAACAGGAATTGGCTTGAGCTCAGACTAAGGCAAGTTAGGCAGCAGCCTACTTGAGAACCAGTCTTGGGACCTGAAAGCAAAGCAGTCAATTAGGCCAGTTACTGAGTGCCCTGGCAACCATTATTTGCACTGGCAAGGAAAAGCATTCCTACAGGATGTTGCAAAGAACCAATAATAGTTCCAAAGATTCAAACTGGTCACACAGAAAAATGTTAGTAAGTACTATTTCTAATAATGTCTAATATTGACTGTGTGCTTAGTGTACACCACACACCAGACAAAGTGGATTATCTCTCTTATCCTCAAGCAATCCACAGAAATAAGGAAGACTGCTTGACACTGTTCATTACCAAGGTTTCACGGCATGTGCTGCAGTGTGAAAAGGATCAGCTTTCGATACACAAAAGAACAAAGCAGGGGAGTGGAAAAAAAGAGCTGTGACAAGAATGGTTTATCTGTTTGAGGTTTTTGTGGCAAGAGAAGCTGGAACCTTAGCTCCCTTTAAGCCTCCTTTAAATGAATTTAGTTGCTCACAGTTTTAAATATATGCACCACCTCTCCTAGTCCCTTTTCATATTTAAATCAAGTTCTGCTTAGCATGTATAGTAGGGTGGAGTCCAACCCATAAGAAAGATTTCTAGTGGAGTTGCTTACCCTGGGGGTTCAGACAGAGAGGAAAAAGTGAGGCAGGCGAGATGTAGACACCAAGCACCCTTCCAGAGACTAGGTGCCAGGAAGTGACACAAAATGCCCTTCGGAGCTGGAAGTAGATCACAGGAGGTGTGGTTATGCCATGTGTCCCTAAAGGCCCAGGGGCAGTGCAGCATAGAGGAACAAGTCTAGGCCCTAGATGAGCACAAACACACACAACCCTGCAAAATCTAGGTCTGCCTCTTACTATCAGTGTGTATGCAAATCAGTTGCATTTTACCTGTGTGTGATATGTATCTTTGTGTGTTGGGGGGAGTGTGTGTGTGTGTGTGTGTGTGTGTGTGTGTGTGTGTCCATGCACTCAAGTGTACATGTGTTTATTGCAAGGAGGGAGCAGTCTTTTTTTTGTATTTTTCTATTTTATTTAATGCTTATTTGGGCACATTATAATTTTTTATTATTTATTTTTAAATTTAAATTTAAATTAGAAACAAGGTTGCTTCACAAGTCAGTTCCAGGTCCCTCTCCATTTCCCTCCCCTCCTCCCCTGCCCTCTCCCCAACCCCCCCCCAATATCCCCTCATTTCCCCAGGGAGGATGAGGCCCTCCATGGGGGGTGTCAATAGTCTGTCATTTCATCCAGGGCAGGGCCTAGACCCTCCCCCAAGAGTCCAGGGTGAGAGTGCATCTCTCATTGTTGGATGGGAATCCAAAGTCCATTTGTATACTCGGGATAAATACTGATTTACTGTCCAAGGCCCAATAGATTACCTAGGCCTCCTCACTGACACCCACATTCAGGGGGTCTTGATCAGTCCCATGCTGGATTCCCAGCCATCAGTCTGGGATTCAAGAGCTAACCCTTGTCAGGTCAGCTGTTTCTGGGGGTTAAACCAGCCCAGTCTTAACCCCTTTGCTCATCAGTCCTCCCTCTCTGTTACTGGATTTCTTGAGTTCAGCTCAGTGCTTAGCTGTGGGAGTCTGCCTCTTCTTCCATCAGCCACTGAATGAAATTTCTGTTTCCCAGACTCTCTAGCCATGGGATTGTAGGCTGGCACTCCCCAGATCTATGTCTAAAATCTATATATGAGAGAGTACATGTCATGTTTCTCTTTTTGTGACTGGGTTACCTCACTCAGGATGGTTTCTTCTAGTGCCATCCATAGGGAGCAGTCTTATATACAAACTTACAGCACAGTAGAGAAACCCCAGCTGTAAGAGTTTGTGTTTTTATAATTAGAGGTTGATGCCATCGGGGCAAGGTTGGGGCTGTAAGCCAGGACTAGAAAACAGGATACACCTGTGACAAGCAACTCACAGAGACCCCATGGGGGCTGGGGCCCAACACAGGTGTAAGCAATTACACTCCTGATATGTTTGCACTGGTGGGCTGTGTGTACATGGGTGAGTGTCTTGACTTTGCTGGGCCTCTACTCTCCATCTATGGAAAGAGGAAGAAGTTTTATGGAAGTGAAATGAATATGTAGAAAGCTCTTAGCAGTGTAGGACCTGTGCATCACATATAATAAGTAAATTAAGTAAACAGTAATTTTGCCCCCCACCCTGTGTGGACTACATTGCCTTTTGTGGAATTCTGGCCATCTCATCTTAGCTTTAGACACATAGTTATGGCCATTTTCTTGAGCTGATCTTTGAGAACACATGTCCTGCCCTCACATTTGGCTTAAGCTGTTGTCTCTTCCAGTCGGCCATAGACACAATTCTGAGGTACCATTCTGAAGGTACCTCACTGTCAACTGAGTATATCGAGTAATCTCACATGGGTGTTAGCCCACACAGCCCAGAATACCCTTCCACTTCTCTCCCACCAAGGCTTCCCCACCAGGACGTGGACCTCCTCTGAACACTGTGGGTCTTGCCGGAGTTTCCTCACAGGCCACAGTTCTCCATTGCCACAGGATCCCATCAGTGAAATCTTACTTCAAGAAAGAACTCACCAAGGCAAGCACAGAGTTTCCCAAACTTCCACTTGGCAGAAGCGCTCAATGAGACGCGACAAACCAACCCAACAGCTGTTTCCCGCCTTGGTCCCACACCTAGTCAATTCAAGTCTCCAGAACGACAGCTGGGAATCCATGAGAGATTGCTGCTCCTTCACTGGTATTCAGAAACAAAAGGAGGAAGGGGACCTATGGAATGGGACAAGGGAAGGTAATGGGGGCTGAACATGAGCTAAGTAGAGTAACATACATGTAAGCTTTTCATAATGATGCTTATGTTGTTCATTAACAAAAATTAATTCATTAAAATACATGAATAAATTGTTTTTGTTTTGAGACAGGTCTCTCTACATAGCTATTTCTGTTCTGGAACTCACCATGTAGCTCTGGCTGTCTTGGAACTCACTATTCAGTCAAGGCTATCCTGGAACTCATTGTGTAGCCCTGGCTGTCCTGGAACTCACAGAGATCCACCTGCCTGTGGCCTCCTACGAGCCAGGATTAAAAGCATACACCACCATACCCAACTAAAAGCAATTTATTTTGATACAGGGTCTAACTGTCTAGCTCTTGCAGGCCTGCAACTCTCTATGTAGACCAGGCTAGTCTTGAACTCACAGAATTCCACCTGCCTCAGCTTCCTGAGTGCTGACATTAAAGGTGTTGCACTTTCATGACTGGCAAAAACATTTTTTTAAGTGAACAAAACTCAACTCTTCGGCCGGGCGGTGGTGGTGCATGCCTTTAATCCCAGCACTCGGGAGGCAGAGGCAGGCAGATCTCTGTGAGTTCGAGGCCAGCCTGGTCTACAGATCGAGTTCCAGGACAGCCTCCAAAACAATACAGAGAAACCCTGTCTTGTAAAAACCAAACAAAAACAAAAACAAACAAAAAACCTCAACTCTTCTATTTGTGCTCTTGAAACAGTAAACACAATCTTTAGGACTGGCTGGACTCTGGGGAAGTCTCTATCAAGGGCCTCATGGGACCCCATCCTTTATCTCTGAAGCATTGACTATCAGCGGATTCTACAAGAGGAGGAAGTCTGTCTCTGGTTGTGTATCCTCTGCTGAGCCCACCACACCCCAAGAGATGATTCCAAACCCAGGGTCACAGAGATGGCCCTGGCAAATCTTGGTGGGTCTCTAAACAAAACAGACTGACAGAAACATGACAGAGATTTTGTGGAGGGTTGGCAGGGATGGTAGGGAAGTGGCAGTGGGTGTTCATGCGCAGTGCACATATGTAAAATTGTAAAAAAGAAAACAGTAAGGCCTGGAGAGATGGCTCGGTGGTTAAGGGCACCAGCCACTCTTGCAGAGGACCTGGGTTCAGTTCCCAGCGCCCACACATCAGTTTCAGTTCCAAGGGATCTGATGCCATCTTCTGGCCTCCATGGGCACACACGTGATGCATACATGTAGGCAAAACATTCATACACATAAAACAAATCTTTTAAAAACAGATATTGTAAGGATCTCTTTATCAGTGACACCTTTTTTGCATCTCTGGTTTATTGAGATGTTTCTGTATGTATGCCAGGTTGACCCTGAACTCACGGCCCTCCTGCCTCAGACTATGTGTTGAGATTACCAGAATGTGCCTTCATACTCGGTTTTCTGGTTGTTCTTACAGACAAAGAAAATCCTCTGTGCTGGCTTTGGTTGTTTCCTTGGAAAGGGGATGCAGGAAGGAACGCTTACTCTCTCCCTTGCCGCCACATGCCTAACTGCATGCTCCGCTTCCTTTACGCCGGGCTTTAGAGTTGCTTCCTAGCACACACAGTCTGGACTCGAAAGCCATGCTTTTTAAATATTTTTATTTATTTTACAAGTGTGGATATTTTTCCTGCATGTGTGTCTGTAAACCACATTCGTGACCCAATGCTCTCAGTGGCCAGAAGTGGGTATGGATCACCCCCCACCCCCCACCCCACAACGAGAGTTACAGATGGTTGTGAGCTACCATGTGAGGGCTGGGAATGGAACCTGGGTCCTTTGAACAAACAGCCTGTTCTCTTAACCACTGAGCCATTTCTTCAGAGCCTCCAGCCCCTCATCTGAGGACTAAGCACCACAGCTGCGTGATCTTCTCCATACTACTTTAAAATTGGGTTTCTGGCATTAGACAGACCAACATTGTTCTAGATAACAACAGATTTACGTTTTTCCTCTCCCAACATGGGAAGAAGCCTTTACAACGTGACAGGGAGCGTAGAGAACAGTCTGCAAGAGGGACGAAGCCCCGAAAAGCTGTGTGTAGGTCGGTCTGCCACAGTCTGAGAATCAGCCCTTGGCCGCCGCATCAGCACCACCTGAAATCTTCGCTGGCTCTGAGAACGCGATGGCAATCTTTCCAGCCACGGGCCCGTGGTTCTGCTTTCCCAGAGGCTCTAGCAGATGTCTGCTCACATGCTCTGACTCAGTGAAGTCTGCAGGCAGCTTCGCTTCCCCGGGAACTTGTGCCGAGGGCGTTTGTTACCCACGTTGCCCTAGCAGCTGCTGCTATACAACTCCAGCTAAGAAGTCCCGACTGAGGCCTGTCTCGGGGTGGATGCTGTCCTCCTGAGGGTGGCCTGACTGCTATGGGGGTACATGTCCATCTTCCTGGGTGGTGGTGGTTGGGGTGCTGTATGGCAAGCTGTTGAGACACTCGTGAACAGGACGCGTTTAAGTCTATAATGGAGCGCTGGGCAAAACGGTGGGAGCCTGTCACCCTAGCACTCTGGGAGGCTGCGGCAGAAGGATTGAGACTTCAGTGCCAGCCTGAGCTACACGGGGTTGGGGTGGGCAGCATTCTGTGGTGTGTCTGGACGTGAAGCCTCTGAACAAATTTCTGCTAGGCAGAGCTTTTATGCTTGCAAGCTCTGACAGTGAGCTGACTCACTCTGGCGGCCTTCCAGGGGACTTTCTGGCTCGTCTCTGTAGAGTCCTCTCCACAGCTCATCTTGAGCTTCTCTGCAGCTGATGACACAGTTGACCTTGCCCTGTCGAATGAATTACTCCTTTAAAGACCAGGGGTGCTTTTGCTATCCTACGGCATTCTGTGTTCTAATAGTTTGTTTCCAACGCTGCTCACTAACCACACAGGGACTCTGCAAGAGAAATGGGAAGAATTTTTTTTTAATGGAGGAAAAATTTTGCTGTGGAACCATACAGAATTAATTCTCACTACTCACCTCGTGGGGCGTCTGTTTTTACCTGGGGTTCACCGTGTCATTCCTCTTCCCTCTGTAAATCACTGAAGGGGCAAGGGAGAGGACCCAGGTAAGAGCCATCACAAGTGCAGACGTTGCCTTAAGCACTCAGAGTTTATTAGTGTTGGTGGTCAGATTGCTATTTCTGTATTACTTCACAGAAAACCAGGAGGAAAGTGAGCTGCCAAACTGTTCAAAGAGACCAGGAGTTTCTGACTGACTAGTGTGACTAAATGCCCGTTTCCTGAAATGAGCTCTCTGAGCTCACACCACTGACTGGATGAGGAACATTCCTTTCACTTGCTGCCTCCCCTGAAAGCTCCACCACTTCAGTCCTTCAGGCCTTTGCAGAAGGGGAACATAAATCCTCAACTGCTGAGGGTGGGCGGGGAGGAAAGTCCCCAGAACTCCCAAAGGCTGGGCAGGTGACACAGAGTGCACAGACTGTCTACCTCTCGTTTTTTCCTCCAAGCAGACACCAAGTTTCCAGCAACAAAGGAGCTCTCCTTAGTTACAGCCTTGGACTTGAGACTGCTTCACCCTGGGAGGCTTGTTAAAACAAAGTTGCTGGGCTTAACCTCTGAATTTCCCAGTTACTAGGCCATTGGCCAAATGCCCAGGACAGCTTTTCTTTTCTTCCTTCCTTCCTTCCTTCCTTCCTTCCTTCCTTCCTTCCTTCCTTCCTTCCTCCCTCCTTTCTCTCTCTTTTCCTCCCTCCTTCCTTTTTTTTCTTCAAGATAGAGCTTCTCTGTGTAGCCTTGGCTGTCCTGGAACTCACTCTGTAGACCAGGCTAGCCTCACAGAGATTCACCTGCCTCTGCCCCATGAGTGCTGGGATTAAAGGGGTGTGCCACCATTGGCAAGAGGACATTTCTAAAAGCTTACCAGGAAACACTAGTGATGTTAAACTCACACTTTGAAAACCAACGTGTTAAAGTATTATGGGCTCTCAGGTTAAAATTTAATTACATTAGAAGTGACACATTAAAATGTTAATATCAAAAAATGTTAATATCTAGAACATAATAGAGAGTTATGGGATGAAATTGATCCTGAGTTAATAACTACCACTTACTAATTACTACAGGCCTCTTACTGTGTACAATTAATTACATTTCATCTAACCCTTATTATGTTTCATAAAGTGACTGTTACTTCAGTTTTCAAATGAGGAAAACTAGGCTTAGGGAATTTAATTCGACTAAGGGCAAATAAGGGCAGCTGGATTTGAATCCAAAACTGTCTCTCAGGCAGTTAATTCAGCTGGTATTGAGGTATAAATCCCAGCATTTGGGAGGTAGAGGCAGGCAGAATGCTGTGAATTTAAGGCCAATCTGGTCTACATAGTGAGTTTCAGGCTTGATGAGGCTACATAGGAAGATCCTGACTTTCTGCCCCACCCCTCAACAAAAAGGACAAAATTTAGGATAATCCAAGAATCCAGAAAGACGGAAAGCCTTAAGCAAACAGAATCCAGGTCAGGGGGCCCTAGCTAGCCAGGCTCTTGATCTGACCAGTCCTGTACTGAAGGAGGAGAATGATGAAATCCAGAAATTCTTCTTAGATATGATTGCCACAGTCCTGCAGAGGCTGTCAAATGACTTACTCAGGGGGGGGGGTGGCTGATTCTCTCAAGGCTGATATTCAAAACATGTTCAGCCTGCACCTCATTAGCGGTGTGGAGCCTCTGCCCCTGCCAAGTCACAATGCGCCTTTGATGGGGCAAGAGGGGGGGCATGGGGAGCATGGGGGGGAGCCCTGCTTACAGCAGCAGTTCTCAGCCCTGGGCTCCCTTTAAAATCATCAGAGGAGCTTTAAAAAACCCTGTCTCCCAGTCTTTACCTTCAAACAGCGATGCCAGATCTGGGGCCAGAGCCCCAGCAACATTTAAGGTCTCCAAGGAATTTTAATGTGCAACAAAGCTGGATCATCTTCTCAAGTATGTATGAGGGGAGGGGGGAGTAATCAGCTGCCCTCTAAAGACACTGTATTTTTCTTTGCGATTCTAGAAGACTAAAAAGACTTGGACATCTAAAGGAATTCATCTCAGTTTGTGCAATGTGAAGGGACGCACCCTAACAAGGGAAGGACTATGGGGAGCAGGACACGCTTGCATCAAAGAAACGCTTGGCATTCTTAGTAATTATAGCATTAGCTTTGATCATGATTTCCTTAACTATAAAACACAGCATCACAAATTCTCTCCCATCTCTATCCGTGGTGTGGGCGATGGATCACTTACCCATCCCAAGTGTACTTCCAGAGCAGGTGACTGTAGGAAAAAAAGGTGCAAATACAGTCATTGATGTATTTATTTATGGGGTGCGTGCGTGTGCGTGCAGGCCTGAGGCTGATACCAGGCCTTTTTCTTTGCCGTTCTCCACCCTTCATGCCTGAGACAGCATCTCTCTCCCTAACCTGAAGCTCACTGATTTGATTCTGTTGACTAACAAGCTCAGGGATCTGCTTATCACCCGCTTCCCACCCATCGCTGGGGCTACAACTGGGTGCTGTCGTGCTCAGCTTTTACTTCTGGGGATCCAAACTCAGGTCCTTAGCATTGTGTGGCAGGCACTTTCCCATGAGCCCTCTTCCTAGCCCTGCTGGTGTATTTCAGATGGAAAAGCTAGCCACTTAAAAAAGAAAAAAAGAGCTGGGCATGGTGGTGCACACTTGTAATCCAAGCTTACTGAGGCAGCTGAGGCCAGTTTGGGCAATTTGGCAAGCCACTGTTTCAAAATACAGTTTTAAGAGAAGGCTACGAGAAGGCCTGGGGGCAGTGTGTGTGTGTGTGTGTGAGTGTGTGTGTGTGTGTGAGTGTGTGTGTGTGTGTGTAGAGAGAGAGAGAGAGAGAGAGAGAGAGAGAGAGAGAGAGAGAGAGAGAGAGAGAGAGTGCATGTGTGTATGAGCTCAGCAGTATGGTACTTGTCTAGCACAATGCCCTGAGTCTAATCTCCGGAACTACTAAAAAAAAAAAAAAACAATAAATGGAAAGTAGGCCAAAGATAAAGGAGAAAAAGCTCACGCAAGGGAAGGCCATGTTGAGGTAGGCAAGCATAGTGAGCGGTTGACAGCTTGGGACTCTGCTAGGTTCAGGCTGTACACATAGTCCCCTCTTCTGCTGACGGCAGCCTAGCTCCGTTGCCTGAACAGGGTATGCACACATACACCCCTCTCCAAACAACACATCTAGCAACCCCAGGCCCACATTTCACCAAGCTCACATATACCCCTCCCTGACGATGGAATGGGTTTTTCTTTCCTAAGAACAACCAAACTTGGACAATTTCCATTAAAAAATATTCCAAATGTACTAAGGTGGAAAGGATGACCTTGACTGAACTGGTTTAGGGCACACGAGCAGTGGGGCAAACTATGTCCTCCAATGGTGCTTTTAGGAAGACTCCGATTACCATTCATTGTCTATGCATAATTGAACCTGTATACAATTTAGTGACTTTTGGGGGAATTGTTGGAGATACAGACTAGGGAACTGTTGAGTCTCAGTTTCCTTATTTATAAATTGGAGACAGTAAGGTCTGCTGAATCTACTTCAATCAGATATAACTGTGATGACACTTGTCAAGATGTGAACTATTCAGCTAGCATGATGCTGTTATTGAGTGGTAAGCTTGTCTTCTAAAGAGCTCATCTGTAGCCCAAGAATACACTCTCTTCTCAGAAGGCTGTGCTATGGATCCGTTTTTTTTGGGGGGGGGCAAGGTTAAAAAAAATCAGAGCATGGGGGTTGGAGAGATGGCCCAGCGGCTACGAGCACTGGCTGCTCTTCTAGAGGTCCTGAGTTCAACTCCCAGCATCCACATGGCAGCTCACAGCTGTTTGTAGCTCCAATTCCATGGGATCTGATACTTTCACACCAATGCACAAAATAAAGTTTAAAATTATTTTTTAAAAATCAGAGCATGAAAAACCCCTTTAGGAAGTGTAAGGATTCAGGCATTATGCTGGCCTGCCCCTGTCACCTGCAGAATGCACTCAGGCAGTGCTCTGGTCAGCCCAGGGTTCCATGAGTACTAGTCTGCACGCATGTGCAAGAGAGCCCTTTAAAGGACAGGCCCCGCCCACTTACTCTCTCTTTCCATTCTCCTTCCTGCTCTTCTACCTCTCTAGTCTCCTCTCTGCTCTTTTCCAGCTGCCTTCCGGTTCTGTTTCCGCTGTTCCCCTCGGGCAGACAGGACTTTTCCCGCCTCCCTCTTCTCTTCTGTCCTCTCTGTCTCTGTCTCTTTATCTCTTTTCTCTTTTCTTCCCCTCTCCCCCCTTTCTAATAAAACTTCTCACTTAAGCTCTGTCTGCCCGGCGTGTTTGTCTGTCTGTCCCCCACCTCGGTCACCCTCACCTGCCATGGAATCCACCATGGTCCCCCACCCAAGGTCCCCCCTGGAGCTTTATAATAACAGGGGGCCATGCTCTGTCTCCAAGGGCCATCTTGGACTTGTCACCTACATTGAATTAGAAAAATGAATGACGGCTTATCAGAAAAGGCGCATGAGTCATCTTTCTCTTTCTTGTGTTCACCTGCAAAATTCTAGGACCTCATTGTTGCTTTTCTCTTCTCTCTCTCTTAGAAGTACATGAAAAATATATGACTGCCCTGGGCAAGATAGCAGAAGGTGCTGAAACACAGAACAAAGAGTTGCTCATGCCTCCTGCCGGCTCTAGTGAGATGGCCTGGCTGACAGCCCTGGTTTGTGATCAGTCTGTCTCCCCACTCATGTTTCCAGCCCTAATTCATGATTTATAAATTCCCCTTTCCTTGATCCTCAAACTTTCCTCCGTCCTCATTCTCAATCTGTGCAAATAAAAGTTCAAAACTGCGGGGGAGGGGGTGTTTTTGTTTTGGTTGGTTTTGGGGGCAGGGTTTCTCTTTGTAACAGAGCCCTGGTTGTCCTGGAACTCACTCTGTAGACCAGGCTGGCCTCGAACTCATAGAGAGCTGCCTGCCTCTGGCTCTCCAGTGCTGGGATAAAAGGTGTGCGTCATCATTGTCCAGCAAAGTTCAAGTCTTTTAAGGTTCAGTATGACAAGGTGTCAAATAACATCTCTAGACTATATTTGAAAATCTGTCCCCCAAACTCCCAGTCACTTTAATTCATTTTACTATGAAAATAGTAAGTATTTAGTCCTTTTCTCTGAAGGTGATGCAAAGGGCAGGGAGGGGCGCACAGGTCCACGTTAAATAACAAAACATTTCAACTGCGTTGAAAGTTAGTTTTTAGCTACAATCATCCGAGAAGGGGGAAGCTCAGTTGAAAAATGCCTCCATCAGAATGGGCTGTAGACAAGCAGGGCATTTTCTTGACTAGTGGCTGGTGTGGGAGGGTCCGGTCACTGTGAGTGGTGCCAGCCTTCGGTCGGGTTCTGTAAGAAAGCTGGCTGAGCAAACCATTGGAGAGCAAGCCAGCACGCAGTGCTCCTCTGTGGTCTCTGCCTCAGTTCCTGTCCTAACTTCCCTCTGAGACAGAAGTGCAAGCAAATAAACCATTTTCCTTCACAGGTTGCTTTGGTCATGGTGTTAAATCGTAACAGTAGAAACCCTGACTAATACACAGAGTGTGGGTGCCAGGGATTGAACCCAGGTCAGGTTAGTTTTTACTGTCAGCGTGACATAGTTTAATTCACCTGGGAAGCAGCAGCTTCTGTTGGGGAATTTTTCTCCATCAGACCGGCCTGTGGACATGTGGGTAACTGTCTTTTTCTGATGATTGATGTAGGCAGGCCCAGTACACCATGGGCAGTAAGATCCCTAGGCAGGTGGACCGGGGCTGTTGGAGCCTGAGAGCAAGCCAGGAAGCAGATTTCCTCTGTGTTTCCTGCCTCTACTGCTTGAGTTCCTGCCCTGACTTCCCTTGATGGGCTGTGACCTGTAAGTCACACAACCCTTTCCTCCCCTCCGTTGCTTTTGATCATGGTGTTTATCACAATAACAGAAAGCAAGCTAGAGTACCCCCGGGCCGTCTTACCAGCCCATGGGTTAGTTTTAATCTTCCTTTTGTGTTGTTCTTTTGGGTGCTGGAGCCTCGTGTTGCTATGCCAAGCACAGCAGCACCACTGAGCTACATTCAGCTCAAAGGTCAGTTTTAAAGTAAGGGTCATAACTTGATTTACCTGAATATATCTTTTTTGGACAGAATGTTAGCTTCAGTCCTGTTTCAGCAACTGGTGAGACCATCACTGTGTAGACATCCCCACAGGGGATGTCGGTGACGTCACAGAAACTTAGGCCAGCACTTGGGACACATGTGAAGATGCCTTTGGAGCCGTAGAGGTCAGTGCTATAATTGGCTGAGCCCCTGGAGGCTTGCCAGTGGATCCGGATGCCATTAGGGCCCAGCCTATATAATTTGACCCCCAGTGGGCAGCAGGCACCTACAGGATAAAAACAAGCCCGGAATCATTTATTTCATCATCACACGAGTACAGCCTTTGTTTATAATTACTACAGAAGGGAAAAGCATAAGTAGAGTCCTCTGCATAGAATGATTAATCTCTGGTTAGAACACAGCAAAGTTTGAAGGGCCGAGTGGGTTCTTTCCATGCCGAGCTACATGATCAGAAGTCCATGTGTGGGTGGGGAGGGCAGGGGTTTTAAATATAAAACACTGGTGAACCCAAGGTGTACAGCTGGCAGAGACATGCTGCACTGCTTAAGACGCAAGCGATGAGTCAAGTGCTACAGCCCTAACAAGAAATAGCACCATGTCCTGGCTTCATCTGACTTTAGTGGGACCAAACTTGAGTACATCATTGTGTTCACCTAGCAGCTGTGAGCAGGAGCGCATCTTGGAAACAGCCACCTGGGACTGACTAGTGAGCAAATTGGCTAGTCCATGCCTCATCCGTGCTAGCTGATTAGGCACTCTTGTGGTCCTGTTTCCCAAATATTTTGAGTGGGCCACATGTTAGGTATCAATCAGGGCAGCCGATGGTAGAATGCTAACTAAAATAAAGATCATATTGAATAAGTTTTTTAAACTGCAAGGGAGAATCAAGCTCATTTGATTTGTGCATGCTCTCTCTCTCTCCTTCTCTCTCTCTTCCCCTTCCCCTCCCTCCTTCTTCCCCTCCCTCTCCCCCTCCCTCTCTCTCTCTATCTGTGTGAAACTATGGTTATCTAGCAAGCCTCTTTGTCTCACCTCCTGAGTGCTGGGATGCCAGGCAGGAGCCTGATGTGAAAACTCACACTGTCAACTTGACAGGCTCTAGAATCACCCAGGAGACAAGCCTACAGGCATGTCAGTGAGGGATTATATACACGAAGTTAGCTTCAGGTGTGCCTGTGAGGGATTATTATCTAGATGGTTAGCTTCTGAAAATGTCTGTAAGGGATTGTCTAGACTGTGTTGTACGAGGTGGGAAGATGGGAAGATCCACCCTAAATGTGGGCTGTACCAATCCATCAGATGGGAGCCTGGGTATCATTAACAACAGAGAAGCTAGCCGACAATTCGACCAGCTCCTTCCTGCTGCCATGAATTCCTCACCATGAACTGAGAACAATCCTTCCTGCCATATATTTAAAAGTGATTTCATTGTTTATTAATTTCTTTTTAATTGTGGGTATGGGTGTGTGTGTGTGTGTGTGTGTGTGTGTGTGTGTGTGTGTGTGTGTGTGTATGTGACTGCAATACCTACAGAGGCTGGAAGAGGGCGAATTAGAGTTATGCTCAACATGGGTGCTGGGAACTGAACTTGGGTCCTCTGGAAGAGCAGTGGATGATCATTCCAGCACCTTAAGTTGTTTGGATTGGATTTTTTGTCAGACTTTTTTGTTTGTTTGTTTTCGTTTTTTCTAAACAGTGTTTATCTGTATAGCCCTGGCTGTCCTGGAACTCACTTTGTAGACCAGAATGGCCTCAAACTCTGCCTCCTGAGAACTGGGATTAAAGGTGTGTACCACTACCAGCAACTGACTTTTTGTCAGATATTTTGTCAAAGCAACAAGAAAACTAATAAACCTAGCTCAATTTATTCTTTTTGCTTATTGAAACATTGTTTTACTTTATTTTGTTTGAGATATGGTCTCATTTAGCACAGGCATCCCTGTAGCACAGGATGACTTTAATTTCCTGACCCTCCTGTCTGTCCTTCCCAAGTACAGAGGTTACAGCCATGAGCCACTTTTCCTGGACCGGACTGATTTAATTTATTCTTTTTTAAAAAAATGTTTTAGAGCTGACAAAGTGGTAAAGGTGCTTGCCCCCAATTCTGACCAACTGAATCCAGTCTCGGGCCCCACATGGTGGAAGGAGAGAACCAGCTCTTGTATGTTGTCTGTGACTTCCACAGGCATACGCTGACATGCTCATGGGAGCACACACAAAGTTAACTAATTAATGAAAATCTAAAGTTAGGTGGAAAAATAAGCAAGAGACCATCTTCTCAGACCCTGAAATGAAGATGAGACCAAGGCAACAAATATAACAGAAATTGGTGGCCAAAAGAAGGTATAAACCACCTCACACTTGTACAGAACGTTGTAGATGCTTTCAAGGGAGGCTAGGGAGATGCTGTTACCCTTATTTTTTTTCTTACCTAAAAGGAACTAGAATCATGGAAAATAAAGGCAACCCAGATTTAAGAAACCATTTCTAATTTAAGCTCCCAGTCAAGACATTCTCTACTGTCTCCAAGAAGCCAAAATTATATTTCAACTCCACTGCCCCAGGCCCAGGAAGAGATAACTAATAACCACCATGCAATTTCTCCTCTAGCCTGGAAGAAGTCTCTGGAGTTTTCTCTAAACAGCCCTCCAAGCAGCCGCCTCAGCAGGTGAGACTTATGTAAGAGGGCATCTTTGCCAGCCCCAGCTCTGCTTGCTGTTTCTTCCTGTCATTCCTGAGTGACTTGGTGTTTGTGGAAAGAAGCCTTTTTGCTCCTGTCTGGTGTGTGACAATGATAATCTACAGAAGGCTGCAATGGTTCAGAAGACAGAGAGAGAACACAGTGTGACAACAACGCAAACCAGGAAGAATGTATACGCTACCGCTTTCCAGTAACTCTGCCAGGCTGAGTTGCTCTTCGCTATAGATCTGCCATATTAAACAATCAAACAAAACAAAGCAAAGAACAGCATCCCGTTAGCTCAGACTCTTTACCAGGGGAAGCAATTCACCAAACACTGACAGAAACCTCTAAGCACTGAAGTTCCCAGTCAAAGGAACTGTAAACACAATAGAAAACACTCTGTGTGAAGAGGGCTGAGAGGATGGCTACGTCTGCCACACATGCATGAGTTGGATCTCCAGCATTCGTATAAAAACTGAGCATAGCAGCTCTGGATGGCACGTGCCTGTAATCCCAGCATTGGGGAGGCAAAGTCAGGGCCATCCTTGATGCTTGGTGTCCAGTCAATCTAGCCAAATCAGTGAGTTTCAGACTTGGTGAGAGAACTCACCTCAAAAAATAAGGCGATGAATGATTGAGGGTGACTGACAATATCAACTGTTTCCCCACCGCACACACTAAAGGTAATCCAAATTAATTTATTTTTATTTTGTGTGCACTGGTGTTTTGCCTGCATTTATGTCAGTATAAGGGTGTCAAATCATTTTCAGCTGGATTACAGACAGTTGGGAGCTGCCATGTGGGTTCTGGGAATTGAACCCAGGTCCTCTGGAAGAGCAGCCAGTGCTCTTAACTGCTGAGCCAACTCTTTTTAAATGGGAAGGATGGACTGGGCCTAGACTAGGGATCATGGAATCCTTATCAATTGTAATGGTTTCAGTGAGACTGGCCCCCATAGCCTCATGCATTTGAATGTTTGGTTCCCAGTTGATGGAACTATTTGGGAAGGATTAGGAGGTGTGGCCTTTTGGGAGGAGGTGTGTCACTGGGGGGTGGGGCTTGCCTTTGGATCAGAATGTAAAGCTCTCAGCTACTGCTCCAGCGCCATGGCCATCTCTTCTCACCTCATGATCATGGACTATCAACTAACTCTCTAAAACTGTAAGCAAGCCCTCAATTAAATGCCATCTTTTGTGTTGTCTTGGGTTGGCACACACCTATAATACCGACACTAGGGAGGTAGAGGCAGGCAGATCTCTGAGTTCAAGGCAAGTCCGGTCTACAGTGCAAGTTCCAGGTCATCCAGGGCTACACAGTTTTGTTTGAAAAACAAAAACCAAAACATAAACAAACAAAACCCATTGCCTTGTTCATACTGTCTCTTCACAGCAATAGAATAGTAATTAAGCAGCAGCAATAGAATAGTAATTAAGTAACAGCAATAGGATAGTAACTGAGGCATCAATACTGAAGATCTGGAATTCAGAATTCACTTACTGGAGGAATAGCTTTGGTAGGCGCAGTCTGCAGTCAGTCCAGTGGGGCTGACGGCTTTTAGTGCCACCGTGTAGTTGATGCCACATGCAATGCAACCCAGAAGGCAGTGGTTTTGATGGGTGTGACACTTAGACCGTCCGATGTGTGACTCCAGCGCAGTCACATAGGTTTGAGCCACTGTCCCAATAGTCCAGCTCACGTTGACTATAGACTGGGTGACCTGAACCACTGTCAGACCAGCTGGACAGCATGGCACTAAAATAAAAAAAAATTACTTGCAGAAGATAATCAGTAATGGGAATTTGAGGCTGCACTTTGGGTAAAACACTTGAATAGTAAGCAGACAACTGGAGTTCAATCCCTGGGAACTCGACGGTGGAAGCAGAGAAGGTACTCCAAAGCCCTCTGACCTCCACACACATCCTCCCCATCATACATGCACACTCACACACAATAATACATAAATAATCAAAGAATGGGATTTTGCCCATGTTTCATTCAAAATCCTAAATTTCCCATGTTTTCTCTTTTTAATGAGAATTTTCACTGAGTGGTGGTCATGGTACACACCTTTAATCCCAGCACTCAGGAGGCAGAGGTGGGTAGATCACTGTTAGTTAGAGGTCAGCCTGGTTTACAGAGCAAGTTCCAGGACAGCCAGGACTGTACAAAGAAGCCCTGTCTCAAAGAAAGAAAAAAGAAAATATTCATTTGTCCTTACCCTCTGATACATTTTGTTTTTTTAAATATTTATTTATTATGTATACAGCATTCTGGCACCTTTACACCAAATCTCATTATAGATGGTTGTGAGCCACCATGTGGTTGCTGGGAATGGAACTCAGGACCTTAGGAAAAGCAGCCAGTGCTCTTAACCTCTGAGCCATCTCTCCAGCCCCCCCATACATTTTGTAATATCAACAATATATAGTATTTTCTCCAAGAATGTAGCACCCTAGCATAGGCTTTAGATCATATGTTGTCTTTCCCATTTCTCTTTTATTTTTGAGTTGGTTAGTTTTCAAGTCTACATGTACCTTTAGATGATCTTAAATTTATTTTTAGCTTTTGAAAGACAGGGTTTCTCTGTAGCTTTGGAGCCTGTCCTGGAACTCATTTTATAGACTAGGTTGGCCTAGAATTCATAGAGATCTGCCTGCCTCTGCCTCCAGAGTGCTGAGACTAAAGGTGTGAGCCACCACTGCCCAGCTGACCTTAAACCTACCTTCTAATCTACCTTCCTCCAACTCCTGGAGTGCTAGGATTACAAGAGTATACCATCACACAGGATCACAGGTGTATGCATCGCACAGGATCACAGGTGTATACATCACACAGGATCACAGGTGCATACCATCACACAGGATCACAGGTGTATACATCACACAGGATCACAGGTGTATACATCACACAGGATCACAGGTGTACACCATCTCACAGGATCACAGGTGTATACATCACACAGGATCACAGGTGTACACCATCTCACAGGATCACAGGTGTACACCATCTCACAGGATCACAGGTGTATACATCACACAGGATCACAGGTGTACACCATCACACAGGATCACAGGTGTACACCATCTCACAGGATCACAGGTGTACACCATCTCACAGGATCACAGGTGTACACCATCACACAGGATCACAGGTGTATACATCACACAGGATCACAGGTGTACACCATCTCACAGGATCACAGGTGTACACCATCACACAGGATCACAGGTGTAAACATCACACAGGATCACAGGTGTATACATCACACAGGATCACAGGTGTACACCATCACACAGGATCACAGGAGTACACCATCACACAGGATCACAGGTGTACACCATCACACAGGATCACAGGTGTATGCATCACACAGGATCACAGGTGTATACCATCACACATGATCACAGGAGTATACATCACACATGATCACAGGAGTATACATCACACAGGATCACAGGTGTATACATCACACAGGGTCACAGGTGTAAACATCACACAGGATCACAGGTGTATACATCACACAGGATCACAGGTGTACACCATCACACAGGATCACAGGTGTATACATCACACAGGATCACAGGTGTACACCATCACACAGGATCACAGGTGTATACATCACACAGGATCACAGGTGTATACATCACACAGGATCACAGGTGTATACATCACACAGGATCACAGGTGTACACCATCACACAGGATCACAGGTGTACACCATCACACAGGATCACAGGTGTATACATCACACAGGATCACAGGTGTATACATCACACAGGATCACAGGTGTATACATCACACAGGATCACAGGTGTATACATCACACAGGATCACAGGTGTATACATCACACAGGATCACAGGTGTATACATCACACAGGATCACAGGAGTATACATCACACAGGATCACAGGTGTACACATCACACAGGATCACAGGAGTAAACATCACACAGGATCACAGGTGTATACATCTCACAGGATCACAGGTGTATGCATCACACAGGATCACAGGTGTATACATCACACAGGATTACAGATATAAATCATCACACAGGATTACAGGTGTATACATCACACAGGATCACAGGTGTACACCATCACACAGGATCACAGGTGTATACATCACACAGGATCACAGGTGTATACATCTCACAGGATCACAGGTGTATGCATCACACAGGATCACAGGTGTATACATCACACAGGATTACAGATATAAATCATCACACAGGATTACAGGTGTATACATCACACAGGATCACAGGTGTACACCATCACACAGGTTTATGTGGTACTTGGAATCCATTTCAGGGCTTCTCACATGCTAAGCAAGCACTCCCCCAATGCTAATAATATCCATATTAATGTAAGTACATTGTTAGATGTCTTTTGGGGAACGTTAAGATAAGATTCCATTGTGGAGCCCTTGGCTGATCTGGAACTCACTAGTTAGACCAGGTTGACCTTGAACGCATAGAAATTCACTTGCTTCTGCCTCCTTGAAGCTGGAATTAAAGGTGTATACCGCCAAGCCTGTCTGAGAAATGTTTTTCAAATACAGTGGTCTCAATCAATAACAGCTTCCTGTCATGGAGATCTTATTATGCCCCAGGCAGCATGTTTAATGATTTGCAACATAGTTAGCTTAGTGCTGGGCAGTGGTGGCCTTTAATTCCAGCACTCAAGGAAGAGACAAGTGAACCACTGATTTCAAATCCAGTCTTGTCTACAGAGTGAGTTCCACAACAGCCAGGGCTACACAGAGAAACCCTGTCGGGGTGGAGGTGGAGGTGGGGGAGAGTCATGTTTTTACTTGCCTCTTATTGATTAGGAAACTAAACTCAGAACATTTAAAAATATTTATTTCATTTTTAAGTGTGTGTGTGTGTGTGTATACACATGAGTACAGTTGCCTGTGGAAACCAGAAAAGGGTATTGGGTCCCTGAAGCTAGAGTTACTATTGTTTTTAGCTACCTGATGTGGGTGCTTGTAACTAAACTCAAGGGCAATAAATGCTTTTGAATCACTGATACATCTCTCCAGCCCTAGAAACTAAACTCAGAATGTGTTTTTTAGAGAAAAAAAATTGAAAGGGTTCAACTAGAGACAAGAATAATGAATCAGCTCACTTGGTTTCTTGTTAGCTGTTTTTTTATACAATGATCTATATATTTTATGAACATTGATGTTTTGCCTCCATGTATGTCTATGTGAGGGTGTTGGATCCCCTGGAGATAGAGTTACAGACAGTTGTGAGCTGCCATGTGGATACGATGGGAATTGAACCTGGGTCCTTTGGAAGAACAGTCAGTGTTCTTAACCACTGAACCATCTCTCCAGCTCCCTTGTTAACTGTTTTGGCTGTCATTTGGGATAACATAAATTCTAAGGAAGGTTTCTGCAAGGTAAGCATATTGTTCCTTGGATGTAAATGTTGGGCAAAACAAGGGAATTCTGAAGATATGCTTACAAAATGTGCAAAATGACAAGAGTTTCTTGTTTCCTTTAAGACTGGAACTCCTTGAAAGACCCCGAGCACTGTATTTCCATCATACTTAAGGAAGATTAAATAAAATTTGTGTCCTAAAGCAGGTCCTGAGGCTTCCCTTGGTCGTGTTGCTGCATACCTGTTTCCAGGGGCACACTGTAGCTGGGAAGGCTCTTCCCCACTGGAGTTTCAGCCACTGCAGTGACAGAGAACATGGAGCCACAGGGCAGGCCCCCAAGCACGCACGTCTCCCCGGTGCTGCTACACTGGAACATGCCCTTCTTCCCCTGGGCAGTCACCGTGTAAGTGGCGCCTTCATTAGCAGACTGCCAGTGCACGTTAATCGTGGAGAATGCATCCTTTGAAATATTTTTTATCTCAGGACTGCAAGGAGCTAAGAAGTGTTAGATTATTAACTTAAACACCAGAGTCAAAGATCACATGTGCCCTTTATTCCAAAATGGATTTGTCTCCCTCCCTCCCCCATCCTCCACAAAAAGACCATCAGGGCTGGGGATATGGCTCAGTTGGCAGAGGACTTGTCTTACACATACTAAGCCCTGGGTTTGATCCCCAACGCTGTGTCAACGAGGCTGGCAAGCACTCCTTGAATCCCAGCATTTGGGAGGCAGAGGCAGGAGGCCCAGGAGGTCAGATCCATCCTTGGCTGCACATTGAGTCTGGACAACCTGGGCTATAGGAGACCTCCTTCATAAAAGAAAGAACCAGGAATGGTGGGTTATGCCTGTAATCCCAGTACTTTTAAACTGAAACAGGAGGATTGCTGTGAGTTTAAGGCCACCCTAAGTTAAAAGACCCTGTCTAATAAATAAATAAATAAATAAATACATTTTTAAAAAAAGATCACCTGGTGTGGGAAGAGGAAAATGACAGTGTTAAAATGCATTATGTATTGGGGGCTGAAGAGATGACTCAGAGCAGTGAGTATTCTTTTAGAGGTCCTGATTTCAATTCTCAGCAACCACATGGTGGCTCAAAACCATCTATAATGAGATCTGGTGCCTTCTTCTAGTGTGCAGGCAGAACACTGTATACATAGTAAATAAATAAATCTTTAAAAATATATTATGTATGTATGAAATTTGTGGGAAAATATTCTTTCAAAAACCCAAACAACAGTTTTCAATTATATATGCATATAGGTCAAATTCACAGAACCTTTTTGCAGAAAAATGTTGACATTGGCAAAGGATATTAGGTTCCTGCAGTTTTTGGGCCAACTGGAAAATAAAACATTTTGAACTTCAAAATCCAAAATAACCAGGACACGCATCTGCTCACCTCGTGGAAAGCAGGCAGTCTCCAGTGACAACAGGAACCCGATGGCTGAGGTCAGTAATCTCTGCCCAAAACTCCCCCTCTCCTGGTGATCTCTTCCTGTCTTTCTTTCCACTTTCCCTTTTTAACTTTCTTCTCTGCCTCTCCTCAATTTAATAATACATGTGTGGCTGAGTGTTTCAACACATGCATGCAGTACCCACAGAGGCCAGGAGAGGGCATCAGATCACTGGATCTGGAGTTGTGAGCCTCCTCATGTGGGCGCTGGCAACTGACCTAATTATCCTCTGTGGGAGTACTAAGTAGTACTCTAAACAACTGAGCTACCTCTCCAGACCCCTTGCTGAATGGCTATGCTGAGGCACATAGGGAGGCTGACGATTAGACATTGGTAAATGACAGCTTAGTGACACCATACCTGTGGTGACGTAGTAGGAGGGACATGACAGATTGCTGCCCCGGACCTCGCTGAAGGAATACACTGTGATGTTGTACTTGGTGTCACAATCCAAAGCAGAGAGGGTACAAGCAGGAGCAGTGTCGTTACACTCCACAACACTGTGCCCAGCTGTGGCCTTGGTTTCATAGAGTTCAGCACCGCGCACAGGAGACCAGGCTATTTCCACTCTGTCACTGGACACCAACACTGCATGGATGTCACTAGGACAACAAGGAGCTGAAAGCAGGAGCCCAGAGGGAACCAAGGTCAGTAGAGGAGCAATGCAGCCAGAGGGGATACTGAGTCTTGACCTCCGTATGGCCAGGCCCTCTGCCACTGCCCTCCTAAATGACTGCCCTCCTAAAGGACGGGTCAGTTCCGACCTGGGCCTCATTCCCACTGCACCTGGGGCAAATCCTTGGGGTGCCACCCAAGGGCACATCAGACCTCCCAGGACTATACCCAACCTTTGCTCTCAGTTCTCTGTCTTGAAGACTTTTATCTCTCTGCTAGAAGCCCTGATCTCTTCTGCCTGAAGAAGTGTGTGGAGATGACGGTTGTACTAGTAACCCTTAAAGGAGGTCCGAAGAACCCCACCCACAAAAATCTAGCTCCCCTTGAGGTCTCTCTGCTGTTCTTTCCCACCTAGATTCCATCCATTCTTGAATGCCAGTTCAAGGCCACTCCTGTGCTCCTGAGACCTTGTTGGCAGCCTCTTCTAAATTCCCAAAGCAGCAATTATTCAGATCCCTCTTCCTGATAGAATTTACCATAATCTGCCCTTAGAATATTTTTACAATGATAATGTTGTATAAATAATTCACTTCAAGGCACCCACACAACCGTTCTCCAAAGATCTAGTGTCTCTCTATGCTAACAGCACAGGGATTAGCACTGATGACAGAGAAACAAAGCACAATCCATGCCCCTCGTAAGATCCAAGCCTAGAGGAGGAGGATGACAGTGAGGGTAACCAAGATAATAGATGGTAATAACGATGCTGGTAAAATTATTTACACTCTGCTTCATCACATCAAAGACCTTTCCCCGCCTGTGTTGTTATTGTCCCATTTGCTCGCTGGGGAGGAAGGGTGCTGAGGGAGAGGTAAGCACATATCATTATTCTACTGCATGAGTGAGCTAGAGTCAGGTTGGGACTTAATCTCGGGTGTTCTACTACAGCAAAGCCCTCCACACCATGTAGCGTCTTGGCCACTGCATCTGTCCTGTCCAGGGAAGGCTGTGTCCCCTTCAGAACCTCAAGCAGGCCTGAGGTTTGAGTCAGAACTTTGTGGAAGGTTCAGCTTTTCAGGGCAGGGGTGAACGGAATGCTTTATCCCTCCGCTCTCACTCCTCACCCCTGCTCTCCAAGACCAATCCCTCCCTACTCCGGAAAGAATGTGAGACAAGGGACTTAATAGCTGTGTTTGATCCTAGAATGTCTCCCAGCCGGGGAACCGGTATGCACAAGGGGCTGTTCATCCAGCTGCTGAGTTTACTGAACCCAGAAGCCCTTCACCGACCTGTGGTGTAATTGGATACATCACCCAGGGGGCTCTGCCCTGCTGCGTTGTAGGCAAACACACTAATGAAGTATGTGAAGCCACACTGGAACAGGAAGTGGCACTGAGTGAGCGAGGTGTTGCAGTGAGCTTCCAGGCCATCGCCACCCTTCACGAAAGCCACATAGTAGTCAGCCAGCTCCACGGCAGACCAAGCCACAGACAAATGGCCGGGGCGGTCTTCTCGGATTGTCACTCTTCCCGGTGCACAAGCCACTAGGAAACAATCCAAAGGAAGCAACCACGTGACTATGGTAGGAGACTTTCTTTGCATCTTGGCAGTTATCTGAGGTGCCAAGACAACCCAAATCAGCAACTCTGAGTTTTGTCACAGATTGAATTTGATGCAAAACGTGCAGAAACATGTAGCAGAAGCATTAGAAGGCATTTTTATAGAAACAAAGACTATGCTAAACACCAGTGGTTTCTCCAAATTCTCTCATTATGACAAATGTTATTTGAAATAATAGGCCATTGGAAGCGTTTATTAATTTGAAATGGGGTCTTATGTATCCCAGGCCTCACTAAAATTGACTTTGATCCTCCAGACCGAACCTCCTAGGTGCTTGGATTACAGATGTGTACCACCACACCAGCTTTTTACATGCATCTGGAGATCAAATCCAGGGCTTTGTGCATGCCAGACAAACACTTTACCTAACAGCCTATGTCCCCAGCATACAGCCCATGGGAGTTTGAGAGCCAGCTTAAGATGTGTGGATTTTGTCAGGTGTGGTGATGAATGCTGTTGATCCCAATATTTGGGAGGCAGACGCAGGAGGATCTCTATGAGTTTGAAGCCAGCTTGTTCTACAGAGTGAGTTCCAGGACAGCCAGGACTACATAGAGAGACCCTGAAAAATAGTGTGGATTTTTATTTTTAGAATATTTATGGAGAGATTTTGACATTACTCAGAGATGAAGTCTTTTTGATGTGAGCCAAACAGTAAATATCTGTAACTTACCTTTTTCCAGATAAAAATATACTTATTATGCTTTTTGCTAATACTTTCTTTTACTCTCACAATAATTATTGCCATTTTATAATTGAATAAGATGAAGCCTGCATAGGATAAGTGAGCTACCCCAGATAATATAGCTAGAAAAGTAAGGTATGGTGGTTTGAATAAGAACAGCCACTGTATGTTCATAGATTTGAATGCTTAGTCATCAGGGGGTGGCACGTTTGAGAAGGGTTAGAAGGTGTGGCCTTGTTGGAAGTATGTCACTGTGGATGGACTTTGAGGTTGCAAAAGCCCATGCCAGGCCTACTTCTCTCTGTACCTGTGGCCTGTAAATTAAGATGTAGTTCTCAGGTACTGCTATAATGCCATGTGTGCCACCAAGTTCCCTGGCATGACGATAATGGACTAAACCTCTGAAACTGTAAGCAAGTGCCCAATTAAATGCTTTCCTTTTTAAGAGTTGCCATGGTGGCCGGTCAGTGGTGGCACACGCCTTTAATCCCAGCACTCAGGAGGCAGAGGCAGGCGGATCTCTGTGAGTTCGAGACCAACCTGGTCTACAAGAGCTAGTTCCAGGACAACCTCCAAAGCCACAGAGAAACCCTGTCTCAAAAAAAAACCCCCAAAAGAAAAAAGAGTTGCCATGGTGACGGTGTCTCTTCACAGCAACAGAGCAGTGACTAAGACATACAGGTAACTGGGTCTTTCTGGGGGCTGCGTACAAATCCTTATAGAGTGGGGAGTTCTATCTGCAGCCTTCTGTGCACTCAGTGACAGCACCACATTCTCGAGCCCATTCCATCTCCAGAGAGCATCCTAAGCAGGTAGTTAAGATGCTAGGTGCTCAAACAAGTACCAGATCAAACAGTAAGCACAACTTGGTGCAAACCAAGGAGATCTGCTCAGGCATCCTCAATTTTTATTTCACACCATAGATGCTACACTCTCTCTTCCACAGACACAATTTCCTTGGCTAATGTTGCTCAGGTTTTGTGTCAAGGCAATAGTTCTTTTATCTAAGATCAGCATGGACTGAAACCAAGGTCATAAACTTTCAAAAGTGTTGTCATCTCTAATGTAAGCCTTCCTAAAATAGAGTTCTCATTTCTGGGCCCTAGGAAACAATAATCCTTTCTAAATATAGTTATTTTATGGATAAATCAAGGTTTTCTCATGATCAGTACTGACTGTGTGTGTCATACACACACTACAGTGGTAACTCCTGAACCAATGAGGGCAGGAGTTGAAAGTTGGAAGGACTCTTTTGGTAGCACTTAACACTGACAACAGGTTAAAAATCAATTGGGGAGCTTTTAAAAACTATTCTATTGGACTCTGTTCCCAGAAATCCCAATTTAACTGACCTTGGTGGTACCTTGGTATTTAGATCTTATGAACATTCCTAAGACGCTTTTGCTGCTCATCTGAATTTAAAAACACAGGATGGTTCTTTCCTGCATTACACAAATCTCTGTGTCTTTGAGTGTTTATCCTTCCCTTTGCCCTCAGCCACTCTGTCTTCAGAATGACTTTTATTGCCCTGCTACACACACTTGTAATTGTCAAAAGAGAAGTCTAATCACCAAGCTTGTGTTGGTGTCCTTAATTTAACAGTACTCTAAGAAGCTGTGGGACTGAGGGTTTGACTATGTTTTTCCCCTTGTAGGAGAGAGGACATCAGCTTGGTGAGAGCTCTGATCTTCTGTTCACAGTCCTCTTCACCTCAAAGTAACATAGTTCTGATGGTTGACTACAGTGGACATTGTTACATTGTCTTCATCCCAGAGACTCCCCATCTGGCAATCGTGAGCACAGATCTCAGCTGCACGTTTCATTTTTGTGCACCAGAAGAAACAGAGCCTTTAGTGTCTCCGAGCTTCTGTTTGTTTATCTAAAAGGAGGAGATAAGCCAGACCTGGTGGTGCGTGCCTGTGACCAAAGCACTTGGGAGATGGAAGCTGGAGGATCAGGAGTTCAAGGCCCGGACTCAGCTACAGAAGTCAACCTGAGCTTCATTAAACCCTGATTCAAATAAACAAACAACAATAAAAAGAAGCAACATCTCACGAAATTATCCTAAGAGTTAAATAGTGGAATTATGGTGCCTGAGATGCAGTAGATCCCAAAACTGTTAGTTCCAACTCCCTAGACACATAGATGCTTCTGGATGGAGCAACAAACCTCTACATATTTGTCTTTACGTTTCCAACAAGAATAAATTTGGGAAATACTGAACACATTTAGAACTAGAAATCTCCCACCTTAGTTTTTAAAACAGCTCCTACCAAGCCTTAGTCATGAAACATGTCAAGAAGAGATAGCTTGGGGCTAGGGACATAGCTTAATATGTCAGAGTACTCTCTTCAGCCATGAGGACCTCTAGAATCCCTAGAATCACATAAAGCTGAGTACGGCTGCACAAGTATGTGATCCCAGCATCTGTGGATGGAGATAGGCAGATCTTCCAGACTCACTGGCCAACAGGTAACTTCTGGTTCAGAGAGCGATGGTTGAGTCCTTGCCAAGGCAGGAGAGCAAGAATTACAGGGGAAGATACCTGATGACTTGCTCTGGCCTCCGTGGGTGCACACATGACTGCAAGCATCCTCATATTTACATGTATGCACCACACATACCACACATGCACTTACACACATGAATGAGCAATTAGCTACTTGTACTGTGAAGAACTGTGAATAACAGACTGGATCTTAGACTGTTTCAACCTTCAAGCCTTATAGTGATGATCGCCTCTGCCCCAGTTGATGTAAGAGACCCTCTTAAGTCCAGGAGTTCAAGACCAGCCTGGGTAACAATGTGAGACCTTGTCTCAAAAAGTAAAATAAAATAGCATATAATAAAAGAAAGATGAAAAAGAAAAAGACCAGGAATAGAGGCTAAGCCTGTGACCAGTCACAGGAGTGCGGTTTGGCAATATGTAATATATGCTTCTTCATTGGCATTATTCATTCACTGAAATCCCCAGCTCAATACTTTCATTTCGAGCAGGGTTAGTTTTCTTTTAAAAATGTTTATTATTGTCATTATTATTATTATCACTATTATTACACTGTGTGTAGTAAGATGGGGAGGATGTAACAGCATGAATGTGGAAAGCAGAAACAACCTTGTGGGGCTGGCCTCCTACCTCTATGTGGTTCCTGGTTTGAACTCAGGTTTGTGTAGCAGGCACCTTTACCTGCTAATCCATCTTGACAGCCTCTCTTTTCTTTTTTTTCAGAAAAGTTCTTGCTACATAGCCCCAGCTGGTTTAGAACTCAGTATATTGCCCATGATGGCCTCAAACTCAAGCGGTCCTGCTGCTTCATCCTGTTGGGATTACAAATATATGTCCATCTTGGACCAGGCTTTGTGTGTCACTGCCTCCAGAATATTCTAGAACCTTGCTGGGGATTTCTTTTCCCCGTATGGCAGCCACTGCGGTCAACAGCACTGCAGGGCTCTCACTGTTTCTCACATACCAGTCTTCAGGGTCCCTGCAGAGGACCTGCTGGACCCAGCATCGTTACTGGCTGAGACAGAAATGAGGTACTCCATCCCACACTGCAGGGAGCTGATGCTGCAGGCGTTGAGAGCTGTGCTGCAGCTCCGCTGAGAAGAATTGCTGGACGCCACCACAGTGTAACTGAATGCTCCTACTGTTGGTGTCCATGAAACAGACGCCTTCAGGGCCCCGCTGTCAAAGAAGACTTCAATGTTGGCAGGGGCACGAGGACCTATGTTTTTGAGAAACAAGAACCTATGTAAGATTTAGCTTCGTAATATTGAGGCCATCAGGAGATATGAGACCCTAGTAGATGGATAACGTTAAGTTGTTCAAAGCAGAAATCGGGACTTAGTATCTGGGAATTGGTAACATAATGGCTATTACTGTGCAGACTCATTCTTAGCTCTGCAACCTTGGTCATATTATTTCTTCTTTTCCTTTTTGTTTGTAAAAATTGATATAAGAGCAGTATTTAACACATAGCTACCATTTAAAAGTATTATTTGAATGCATGAATGTACTACCTAACAAGCGGTGAAGAATAACATTGGAGAAGCCTGGGATGGTAGTATAATTTCAGCCCTTGGGGTAGTGAAGAAGGTTCATGCTGACCTGTGCTACTTTGACCCTGTGTCAAAAAAGACCAAGCGACCAACCAAACAGAGCAAACTGAGCTCATACATGTGAAAGACTGAAAGATTTATGTGAGTATGTTGTCACATGGCAGGCCAAATGTTTTTTCTATTATTGACTCACGTAGCTAAGCGTACCCCTTCATAGGCTGGGAAAGCAGTTCAGTAGTAAAGTGCTTGCCAAGTGACTTTTACTCTTAGCAGATTTTAGTTTACAATTGCTTCTAGATAAGCAAACATCCCATTCTATACATCAGAGGATAGGGGAGATTCAAGTATAAGTTCACACACAACGGTAGTCTTTTAGTGCCTCCCAAACACTCTCCCCTCATTCTTATAAACATGCCTCAATGTCTTCATGGTTAAACCATTTACAAACTTGGACGGCTGAGCCAGCCGTGAAGGAGCTTGCTGCCAAGTCTGACAACCTGAATTCAGAATCCATGTGATGGAAAGAGAGAGTTGACACACCTGTCCTCTGACCTTCACATGTGTGTCATGGCATATCACACACACACACATATACACACACACACACAGACACCCGCGTGTGTGCGCGCGTAGAAAGTATAGAAAACTACTTAAAAAAAAACAGAGGATTGTGCTTATGAGGAAAAGCTGTTGGCCTCAGCTCTCCTGGGATCTATGTTGCAGTGACATTTTAGTGAACCTCAGAACACTGTGTGGATGACTTCCGTGGAGTACATCCTCCCCACACATCACCACTCACCGAGGAGCCATTGACAGCTGCTGGCTTCTGGAGAAGCACAAGGTGATTTATTTAATGGTAGGTCGACTAAACTCCAAAGATATCACATCCAAGAGTATATGGGCAGCACACATTGGACTTGCTGGATTATATTTTTTAAGTTTGTTTTAAATGACGTATTTATTTTTGTTTCACATACATTGGTGTATTGCCTGTGTGTATGTCTATATAAGGGTATTAGGTTCCTGGGAACCATGTGAGTGCTGGGAATTGAACCTGGGTCCTTTGCAAGAACAGCCAGTGCTCTTAACCACTGAACCATCTCTCCAACCCTTGCTGGATTTTTTTTTTGAGTTTTCGAGTCAGGGTTTCTCTGTGTAGCTTTGTAGACCAGGCTGACCTTGAACTCCCAGAGATCCACCTGCCTTTGCCTCCCAAGGTGCACCACCACCGCCCAACTGTGTTGGATTATTTTTTAAGGGGAGAGGCAGCTAGAAAAAAGGCTCAGTGATTAAGAGTACTTGCTGTTCTTCCAGAAGATGTGGACGGGGGTGGAGGGGCAGGGGGAGTGAAGATTCCCAGCATCTACATGATGACTCACAGGTGTCTGTAAACTTCAGTTCCAGAAGATCTGATAGGCAACAGGAATGCACATGGTATATAGGTATACATGCAGGCAAAACACCTATATACATTTTTTTAAAAGGACATGAAGTTGAGGATAAGGTGGGTCTGGGAGTAGTTATGGGGAGCAATAGGGATGAGTATAAAGTATATGCATAAAATTCTCAAACACTAACTGAGCAGTGGTGGTGCATGCCTTTAATTCCAGAACTCAGGAGGTTTTCTCTGTGAGGCCAACCTGGTCTACAAAGCAAGTCCCAAGACTGCCAAGACTGTTTGTTACACAGAGAAAACCTGTCTTGAAAAACAAAACAAAAATTCTCAAAAACTAATAAAAGTATTATTAAAAAAGAAACCAGGTGGCTCTCTTGTCCCCTGCCCGGGTGTAGATGCTACTTCCTGTGTACACTGTGCCTGTGTACATTCTAGCGAAGTTCTCTGTTATGAATGATTCGAATGTCCGAGTTATGCATCTTTGGACAGGGTCTGTTCTTTGGACGCAGGAATTGCTTCCTTTCATCTTGTACTCCAGCAGCTAAATGTTTGCAAGAAGATGAGAGGGAGGAAAGAGAAGGGAAGTAGGGAAGAGAAGAAAAGAGGAGAGGAAAGGGGAGAGAAGGGCCAGGGCAGGTAAACCACTCAAAGGTTCAGGAAGGCTGGTTTGGCACAAATACCTGATGCACCAAGTCAACCATGAAGCACCTTGAGGCTGCTCACCACCATCCTTTCCCATATGTGACTACTATACAAGGCAAACCCTCTCTTCTTCCTGAATTTCTGCCTGGATCAAAAATAATGAGACTCCCATTCCAAACGTAGAGAAAGTTGAAGAGACTATTTCCAGTTTCTTCCCACCTTTCTTGGGTCCTCCCCTAAGAGATAAAATAGCTACTCTGGTTAAGTTGGTAAAGGTCTGGCATTTATTACACACATACACGCACGCATGCACGCATTCCCTAGCTCCCTCTGATTCTTTAGTCTCACTCCAGCAGCTGAATTGGGACTTCCGGTTTTCGTGCTAAGGCGCACGCCCACCCCCACCCCACGTTCCTGGGATGGAATGCTGAGAGAAGGCATTACACTCCCACTGGGCAGTCCACAGCTAGAGAAGGGGTGGCGGACTGCACCATGTCAGCTTCAGCGTCGTGCTGAAGTGTCGGAGAAAGACAGATTCATGTCAGACAGGAGCAGCAGGAACTCTTTCTGTGACTGTCCCTGGATCGATGCTGGCTTTCGGGTTGGCACACACTCTCCAAATGTCTGTTGAAGGATTGAATTCCCGTTTGCCTCAATTCTTTTTTGCTTAGACTGCTGGCTTGAACGCAGGAGGGGAAAAAGCAGGGGATGATTTAGTTGATCCAACAAGACCAGGAAGACACAAGGAAAGATCGTTCAGCCTAACAAGAGCCCTTTCCTCTTTCTGTGCACGCTGCAGTGGACCTGGTTATCAGAGGGGGAGGCGCTGTGCACCCCATCACTCAGTGAACTGCTGCCGAGGCATAGTCAAGGCACTATAAATAACTTCATAATAAATTTAAACAGCTGTTGCCAGCTGCTCCCTACTCATCACTTAGCATTGCTCTCCAAGGCTGCGATACCCAGCCCCCTCATTAATCAAAACTGAGATTGCTCAAGGCTGAGCTGAGGAGTCCTTACTGGTTCTCAGGTTGCAGGTGGAGTCATCCCCAGGGATTCCATTGGCATTCCACGCATAGGCCTTGATAGTGTACAAAGTCCCAGCTTCTAAGCTGCTGAAGGTCAAGGAGGTGTTTGTAGTATTCTCTTTCCAAATTCTACCCAAGCCATTGGCTCGCATAACAGACACGGAGAAGCCAATTGCCATGTATACGGCGTCCCATCTCACAAGGATGGAGTCTGGACTCGGAGAGCCAACTTCCAAAACCGGTGCAGCCAACACTGTTAGGAAACACAACGTGAAGCCGTGAATGCGTGTTATAAAACTCTGTAGAGAATAACTCAAGTTATTGAGGAACAAATGAATGCAGGCTGATTACCCATATTATTCACATTATAATGGCAGAGTTCCATTTAGTAATTGCTAATTGGAGCTAAGGATGTAGCTCTGCGATGTCTGGCATGATGGAGGCCCTAGGTTCTTTCTACAGTATGATTTTAGGAAAGCTACTTAAGTGTATATTAATAATAAATGATGTGGCAGGAAATGTGGAAACTCAAGCCAGGAGTGGCGGAGCACACTTAACAATCCCAGCACTCAGGAAGCTGAGGCAGGAGAATTGCTTTGAGGTTGAGACCTGGCTAGGCTACCCTGTCTCAAAAACTCTAAGGTAGTAAGACACTAGAAAACGCCAGGCAATATTTTCAACTTGCAGTTGGTGAGAAGTTAAAGTATCCATATAAACAAATAAGGAAAATGATTGTTTATACTATTTTAGTGTGCAAATTACTTTTAGTTTTCAATGCTGAGAGTGAACTCAGCCTTGTACATGTTAGGCCAGCATCTACGCCAACTGCACATAGCGTTTCAGAAATATGCCCAGGTGTGACTTTATGAAGTGAAATGAATTCTGATGGCAAGTCCCGAAACTTTTATTTGTTAATGTATCTGCTATGTGCTCAATGTGCTGTGAAATCTGTTCTATGTATCCACTATTTGGCATGGGTAAAAACAGAACTTGCTTTTTCAAGGATTTAAAGGAATTTTGCTTTTAAAGCTGTCCAGAAATGGGTTTTAAATTTCAAAGCAAAGTACTAGGCATTTGAGTGTTACTTTCTCCACAAATTGCTGAGTTGCAATAACAAAAACAAACAAAAATTGGTGACTTTTGCCTCGGGGCCTTGCATTGTCGAACTCAGGCACAAACCACACAACACATTTGCATTGCTGTTAAAATTGATCTAAATCACAAGAAAACACTTGACAGCATGGGCATCCAAGTTATCTACCTGTCTTTGCCTGCTTTGGAGACGATGCTTGGCTTCTTCCAGAGGCACTGATGGATCTGATGGTGATTTGATACAAGGTCGCAGCCTTCAGGCCTGTCAAAGTGCCCGGGGAACTGGTCACTGTGGTCTCAATGATTGTGTCCCCATCTTCAGCTGTGAGCAAGTAACTTGTGGCCCCTGGCACAGGAGTCCACTCTACAGTGATGCTATTGCTGATTTTTGAATATGCCTGATCAATGGTTGGTATTTCAGGCGCTGAAAGATATTTTGAAGTTGTACATTAGCCAGGATATCCTACAAGGATGACATCTTTCACCACTTCCTCCCTAAACTACATTATTCTGGTGTCTTCCCATGAACATAAGCTTTGACTTCATTTTCCAGAGAAAGAAGGAAGCTGGGAGTGGTGTAAAAGCTTGTGGTCCAGCTACATAAGAGGTGGAGGCAGGAGGATGAAATTAAGACCAGTCTGGACAACTTAGCAAGACTCTGTCTCAAAATTTAAAATAATAATGATTATGATTATAATAGGTACTGGGATATGCCTCAGTGGTGGAGCACTTGCATACATTAAGTCCCCAATATCACAAAAAAGACAAGAAGAGAGAGGCTGATGCCGGGCTCAGCAGACAAGAAGGCTTGCCAACATCCTGATGACCTGAGTTTGATCCCTGGGATCTATCTATATGTCAGAAGGAGAGATCTCACATCTTAAGTCTTCTCACCTCTACGTGGGCAATGTAACATACAGGTGCACACCACACACACACACACACACACACACACACACACACACACACATACCACAGAGGCATGTACACATACAACATACATGCACACCACACAGAGGCATGTACACATACAACATACATAGGCACACCACATACATGCATACATTCACACACACACAAATAAGTAAATAAAATAAGAAATACAATTTTTTTAAAAAGTAGAGACAGATAAAGGAAGAGTAGGGGAGGCTGGGGAAACAACTGTTTTCCAAGGGACAGCCCGAGCACAGCCGTCACTTCCCAGCTCCTGCGGGTCACTCGTGCTTCCTATGCTTTGAAGTGAGCTAAGTACTAATGGGAAGAGATTGTGGGAAGGAGCTCTGAGAAGGGGGAAGACAATGGAGGGGCTTTAATCCGGAGGGTTCCACTCTGGTTTGGTACTCTGAGTTTCCAAGGCTGCTTTGTCACTGAGGTCCCTCCCTGCCCCAGCACAGGCGCACTGCTCCCAGCTGGGCCCTCCCCGTCTCTCACTGCTTGTGGTCACTTTCTCATGACTCTGCACATTTCCCAAGTGGGCTCTAATCTAACAGAGGAAGGGGGAGAACAGAAGGCTTTGTTACAGTTGTTCCACACTGCCTTGTTACTATCAGAGCAGAGTAATTTTCAGGTTCTTTTATATACAAGAAAATGAACTTTGTTCTTCCTTGGCCTACCGAAGGCTTAGATACTGAAACCCTTCTGGGACTGTCCGAAGTTCGCCATGGGAATGTTTATGTCATGAGCACACAGGAGAGTCCTCTGCTTCCCATACAGGGTAGAACATACAGGGTGAGACTCAGATCGACCACTTCAGAAAATCCACAGGCACACACATGCACACACAATGTTCTGTATCTTGTAGGAGATTGGAGCAGAAGAGGAGATCAGTAAACATGTGCTGGGTTTTTAATTCGGAAACTGGCTCTCCACCTTTTAATGTTAACGTACTCCATTGTTGAGCACAGTCACTGTATACCAAATTCCTAGCTGAAGGGCAAGTCAGACGGGGTGATGCACGCTTGCTACCCAGCACTAGGGAGGTTGAGGCAGGAGGGTCTCAAGTCTGAGGCCCAGCTGGGCTACATAGAGCCTATCTCAAACAAACAGGCAACAAGCACGCCACCACCACCACCACAGCAAAGCCAGGTACAGATTGTATGTCTGATACCCCAGCACTTAGGAGGTCCTCCTCAACTGTATAGAGGGTTGGAGGAGCTTATTTGCAACCCTATCTCAAAAACAACCAAAGAAATCCAAAACCAGTTCATCAGCCAACCAACCTCCCCAAACCAACCACAACAAGATTAAGGGGAAAACTACAGGGCAAGAAGACAGAATAAAAGCCAAGTGGTTTGCCAGCATCAACTCTTCCAGGCTTCCCTTTCACCAAACCCCCACCTAGGTGCACAATACAGACATCCTTCTCTTTCTGTCCCAGTCAGTAATCAAGAGAGTTCTCATTGGCGGCCACTCAGAAATAAGCAGGCTGCAAAAGTGAACAGAGTCTCCACTGTTCATTGGCCAGATACTTTTGGAACATCATCCAGGAGTATCTCTGTCACAGAAAGAAAACCATGCTGGTCATATATGCTGGGGAAGGCTGCCAGCCTGGCGGCCTTTTGCCAGTGAAGCTGATTCAGCAGGAGGAGTGGATGCCCCTTCTGGCCCCTAGGAACAAAAAGCCCCGCAGGGCCTCCCTCTCCAGCCCCTATCTCTCATCTGCAAGCCCTCCCACCCCTCCCCCAGGAGCCATTTCCCAGTGGTCTGTGTCTCCTTTCTTCTCATCCTCTGGTGTCTCTCAACGCCTTGTTTCCTCTGTCCCACAGTTTTATCTCAGCTCCTGTGACAGATAGGCTGGCTCACTGGAATGGACAAACTTCCTGGGAAAATGACCAGCTGCAGACAGAGAAGGCCCGATGCCGCATTCATGGAGAGCCAGCTGCACAGACTGTCTTCCCACAGGCTGCCATATGCCTGAGGATTCCTTGTCTTCCCCCAAGGAAGTAAGCAGAGTGAAAATCAGGGTTGGACAAACGGAAGGCACTTGGATTCAGGAGATCCGGGGTTAAGGCCTGACTCTGCTTTGCATTTTTGTGTATGTGTAAATGTGAGACACTTAAGGTCCTAGTGTACATTGCCTCCTTTGAGAAAGCTGGGGCACTCACAATACCTACACTTCAGCAATTACTTTGAAATGTGTAAAATAGCTATAATTTATGATTATTGTAAAGATTAAATAAAAGCATAAGTAAAGGCACTTTGAGAGTGCCTCATTCCTCACCCGTGTGTGTGTGTGTGTGTGTGTGTGTGTGTGTGTGTGTGTGTGTGTGTCTACCAAGGTAAGCAAGTGTGGATGGCTTTGGGAAAACAGATCATATAGCGTAGCCATGGTAGGGTTCCAGTGAAAGTAAGACACCGGGGGAGTCTTTGGTGAACACAGGGAGGAGAGAGACAGAGAAAGAGAGAGAGACAGAGACAGATACAGACAGACAGACTGACAGACAGACAATGCCTGATTCGCAGTTGGCTCTCAGCAGATTGACTAGTGCCAGCCACAAAAGCAAGTCAACTGAACCCTCTAGACCTGTGCTTCTCACCCTTCCTAATGCTGTGACCCTTTAATACAGTTCCTCATGCTGTGGTGACCCCAATCATAAAATTATTTTCATTGCTACTTCATAACTAATTTTGCTAGTTATAAATCATAATGCAAATATCTGTTTTCTGATGGTCTTAGGCGACCCAGTGAAAGAGCCATTCGACCCCCCCCCCAAAGGGTCGCAAGCTGCAGGCTGTGAATCGCTGCTCTAGGAGATGAGAGCAGAATCCCAGTGCTCACGGGAATAGCAAGGGCAGATGCTCAGAGTGGGAGCATTGGAGTCTATTGGAGCCTGGTGAGCAAGTGTGACCATCTACTGCAGGGCAAATGAGTCTGCGTGCCCAGTCCCCTGTAGCAGAGTGAGCCCAGGTGGGACCAGACTTCAGGAACGTTTTTTTCCATGGAGGGGTGGACTGGTAGGTAGATCTGGTGCTGTGACATGTTTCAACAGACCGTCAAAGAACAGGAGTAGCAAAGCAACTCTGGGGTGGCCGGCGACGTGGCTCGGTTGGTAGAGCGCTTGCCTAGCATGCGCAAAGCTTTGATTCCATCCGCACCAAACCCAGTGTACGCCTATAATCCTAGTACTTAGGAGATTGCAAGTTCAAGGTCATCCTTGACTACATAGTGAGTTTTAAGACAGCCCAAGGTACTTTTCCATAAAATAAAATAAAATAAAATAAACTCAGGACTTTGGGAAGAAGAGCCTGAGAAGGGAGATTCTGCTTGAAGGGGCTTAGTTTTGTCCCTCTCCACCCTTGGTGCTAGCGTCTGAATGAAAGGGTTCACACATGCTAAGCAAGCTTTTGCAACTGAGTTTACCACCCCAAGCTAACTGATGATTCAATTATATTATCATTTAATACTAACATGGGGCTTTGGTTTTGTTTGTTTTCTTTTGCTTTGTGTTCCCTCTCTCTCCCTCCCCCCTCCTCTTTTTCTTTTCATTTCTTTCTTTTCTTTTCTTTTCTTTTTTTTTTTTTTTTGAGACGCTGTTTCTCTGTGTAACAGCCCTGGTTGTCCTGGAACTTACTTGGAAGACCAGGCTGCTCTCAGACTCACAGAGATCCACCTGCCTCTGCCTCCCAAGTGCTGGGACTAAAGGCATGCGCCACCAACACCTGGCTGTTTGTTTTTGAGACAGGGTTTCTCTGTATAGCCCTGATTGACCCTGTCTTGGAACTCACTCTGTAGACCAGGCTGGCTTCGAACTCCCAGAGATCCACCTGCCTCGGCCTCCTGAGTGCTGGGATTAAAGGGGTGTGTTACTAGGCCCAGCTTTAATAATGTTATTTTTATCATTATTAAAATTTGGGGGAGAATGACAGAAATTATCAGTCCTATCCTCTCCCCTCTCTCAATCTTAGAGAGAGAGAGAGAGAGCTGAGAAGTGTTAAGTGTCGCTTCTTGGGTTGACGAAAGGAAAGACTTTATTCCCTGGATGTGCACACACTGATGCATCCAAAATGAAACCCTTTGATTCCCAGTATCTGTGAGTTTGACCAACTCAGAGAATCCAAATGAGCCCAAAGTCCTCAGAACCTAGACACAGATCAGCAGGCATGCCAACGCCCAAAGAGAGTCAAATACACACACCCAAGATGAAGCCTTCTTTCTACACAGTACAAATCAGATGCAATCCATCTATTGAAATACCAAGATGAATCCATTAACAGCATCACTGGCTCTCTTGATTTCTCTCCAATGGGATGGATCATGTTGGGAGGAAAAGAAAAGGTCTCAATGGGTCCTGGGTTTACTGGGACTTTGTAGGACACAGTGAAGTTTGCTATATAAGGGACAGCTGTTTATTTTTTAAACCACTTATAAACCAAGCAGATTAGTGTGTGCACGCATTGGGGGCTTCTCATGTGACTGGGGCAGAATTGCTTAAGCCTGGGAAATCAAAACCAGGTAGGTCAACACAGGGACTCATCTCAAGTGAAATAAATAAAACAAATAGTAAAATAAATTTAAAAATCATTAGGAATGTGGTTAAATAGTCTTTCTCATAACTTCCTGGACAACCATGAAGGTCTCTCAAGAGTAATATAACACTGATGGTCTGGAGAGCTGGCTCAGCAGTTAAGAGCCCTGGCTGCTTTATCAGAGAACTCAGGTTCAATCCTTGGCACTCACATGATACATCACAAGCATCTGTAACTCCAGCCCATGGGATCCAACGTCCTTCTCTGGGTTCTTCAGGCACCATGTATGCATGTAACATGTGAACATACATGTAAACAACACACCCATGCACATAAGCAAAGTTTAAAAGTGTTTTAAGGAATAATGAATAATAATAAAGCAAGAAATGAATTTTAAAAGCCAACTCTACAGCTGGATCTGGTGGCACATGCCTTTACCAGCATTAGGGAGGCAGAAGCATGCACGTTTCTGAACTCCAGGCCAGCCTGAGTTCCAGGCCAGCCAAAACTACACAGAGAAATCCTGTCTGGAGATAACAAAAAACAAAAACAAAAACCACAACTGTCTATGTATGGGTTTAATGAAATATTAAAATGCAACCACATGTTTAATATAAAAGTTCTTAATTCTACTTCCTTTTCTATGATGTTGGCCAAACAATAAAAGTTGTTCCAGTGTGTATGGAATCACACTGAGAGTTTATCTCTAAGAGAGTCCATTGTATATGTTTTTTGCAGATAATCTAAAGCCTGTTCAACATAAATTGCTATCCTGTCAAGTTAGATTTCTAGATGTATAAGGCAGGAAATTTTTCTAGAAAAATTACTGTGGCCTCTGGTCATTTATTCAGGAAAAATGGTGATTGAAATCTGTTTTAAATAGGGAGGGCTCTTTGCCCTTGTATTATTGTGTTGACCTCAGCATTGGCTAGATGTACAAAGCTCTCTCTATCTCTCTCTCTAATTTGCTTTTAGGTTTTTGCTTTTTTGAGGCAGGATCTCCTGCACCCCAGACTTGCCCCAAGTTACTCTGTAGCCAAAGGTAACCTTAAGCATCTGACCTTCCTGCCCCCAGCCTCCAAGGTCTGGGATCACAGGTGTGCACCACCACACCCAAAACAATTTTTTTCCTTTGGTAGAGGATTTTGAAATGTAATTTAATACAGAATTTCTGTTTCTTTTTTTTTTTCTTCTTCTAATGTCCCAAAAGACAAGTAGGTAAGTTATATAAGTAGACTGTTGTGGTGCAATTTTAATTTTTGACTGGGATGATGATCCCTGTGGTAGTTTGTTCACAGCTTACCTGGATGGGAAATGCGGTGCTATGTTACAGTTCTCTCTAGTAACACCTTCGAAGGGCTGAGTTTGTAAGTATGACCCAGTCGATTTGTTTTACTAACTATGGTCTCTCTGGTATTTTTTTACATGGTGTTAGCACCCACTATGTATGCTCAGAAAAATGTTGTTACCCGCCCTCCCAGGATAGTCTTTATAGATGAGACTAGACCAATCAGCAGTGTAAATTAAAATCAAATATAAGAAAGGAAAACTTGCATGTCAGAAATCGTTACCTGATTTGGATGAAATAACCTGAAAAGGAAAATTTAGAAAGTTAGAAGAATGAGGAAAAACGGCGTTTGGGGAAATAAAATGAACACATCAACAGGACACAGTAATCACAACGTTTCTGTCCCAGTAACTTTCCCATTCACCTGAGCGCTTGAATCGTTTCCCAGCACTCGAATCTATCCTAAAGCAACGCTGAAAATGACTTAGTCTGGGTACTACTAGATTGTGTTACTATTTCCTTTTTTCCTTGAACCTGCCTATTGACCTAAACTGTTGATTGATTTTTTTTCAGGAGTCTTTGTTCTTCAAACACAATGATAAACTTGTCTCCTTTCTTTAGTAAATCACATTACATCTCAACCCCCAAAATGTACGGTCTTCGTGTAATTTTAAGGTTTTTCTAGTTACATCTCCCCACTCTCAGCCCTTCATAGAGAGAGAAAGATAATGCATGGGTATCTTTTCCCCAAAACTAGTTTTAGGTAGTTGAAAAGGCAGACTCACCGTTCTCAGACAGAGGAGAGAGAATCCTATCAAAGACAAACCCTTCTCGGGTCTCCCGGCCATCCTGTTAGATGCAGCACTCACATAGACGGTGATCTGGGTCCTCCTTGGCTCCCAGAAGCACAGCACTGAAGGTCTCAGAGCGTGGGCAGCGTTGCTGGGAACAGACTCTGAAGTCGCCTCTCCTCTGGTGCTGCTTACCTGTAGTGAGGAACACTGGGGACTGGCAGGAACAGCGACTGCAAAGACTGAAAAAAAGAGCCGGAGAAAGCCGTGCCAGGCGGGGTTTCAAGGAGCTAGTACAATGTTCTCCCTTTTAATAAATGTTATGCTGGGCATAGATGGTGGCGTTTAATCCTAGAATTTGGGAGACAGAGGCCAGCCTCGACTACATTGTGAGTTCTTGGACAGTCAGAACCCTGCACCCTCCCTCCCCCCAAAAAGAAATTTACAAAGCTGTAGAGAAAACTGTTGATATGGTAGAACAGTTTTAAACTCAGGAATTCCTGTCTTATTTCACCTTTAGTTTTAGATTTTATATATTTTAGTCAGTTTTGCCATTGTGGCCAAAAGACCTGACAGAAACAATTTAATAAAGGGGTTGGTTTGGGCTCATGGTCTCAGAGGGATCAGTTTAACTCCATCTGTTATGGAAGGACATTTTCTAATGTCCTCAATGACATGGTGAGTTTGAGACCAACCTGGACCACATGAGATACTGTCTTAAACACACACACACACACACACACACACACACACACACACACACACGCACGCACGCACGCACGCACGCACGCACGCATGCACGACACACACAAGACTTGATTCTGGAGAGATGAGTCAGCAGTTAAGAGCACTGCTGCTTTTGCAAAGGACCCAGATTCAGTTCCCAGCACCCACGTGGCAGCTCATAACCATCCATAACTCCAGTTTCAGGGCATTTTATGCCCTATTTTGAATTCTGTGAGCACCAGACACACAAGTGGAACACAGACACACACAGAGGCAAAACATCCATGTACATAATATAAATTAAAAATAAAAATTCAAAGACTTAAAATGCATAAGTAAATGGACTCAAGCCAGATGTGGGGGTACACAGTTTTAGCTTCAGCTACTCAGAAGGCAGAAGGATCTATTGAGACCGTAAGTTTGAGACTAGGAAACAGTAGAACTGACTGAGTTCTCCCCACATTATTAATCTATTGATATGGTGGCGTACCCCTTTAGTCCCAGCACTCGGGAGGCAGAGGCAGGTGGATCTCTGTGAGTTCGAGGCCAGCTTGGTCTACAGAGTGAGTTCCAGGACAGCCTCCAAAGCCACAGAGAAACCCTGTCTCGAAAAACCAAAAAAAAAAAAAAAAAAAGTAGACTCAAAACCTACAAAATATCTTAGAAATGAGAAAATGAGTAGAAGACAATATTTATGATCTTGAGTTAGGCAAAGATTTTCTTTTTTAAAAAAGTGTGTGTGTGTGTGTGTGTGTGTGTGCGCGCGCGCGCGCACGCGCGTGTGCAGGCACACATTATTTTCAAAACCTAGTAAGGACAACTGAGGGCTGGTGAGATGGCTTAGCGGTTAGAAGTACTTACTGCTAGGCCAGATAGCCAGAGTTTGATCTCTAGAACCCATGTAAGGGTGAAAGAAGAACTCCACAAAGTTGTTTTCTGATCTCCACACATAGGCTATGGCAAACATAGTGTCCAGTTAGATTTCTTTCTTTTTGGGGGGTGGGGTTTTGAGACAGGGTTTCTCTGTGTAACAGTCCTGGATGTCTTGGAACTCACTTTGTAGACCAGGCTAGCTTCCAACTCACAGAGATCCACCTGCCTCTGCCTCCTGAGTGCTGGGATTAAAGGTGTGCACACCAGTCCGGTTTGATTTTTACTGCTGAAATAAACATATGGTCAAAAGTAACTTGGGAAGGCAAGGGTTTATTTGGCTTACAGTGTCTCATCTAAGGGAGGACAATACAGGAACCCAAGACAGGAACCCGGAGGCAGGAACTGAAGCAGGGACCATGAGGAAGCAAATCTTACTGGCTTGTTCAACCTACTATCTTTCATTTACTAGGTTTTCTTTTTTCTTTCTTTTTTTTTTTTTGAGGCAGGATTTTTCTGTGTAGCCTCGGGTATCATGGAACTCACTCAGTAGACCAACCTAGCCTTGAACTCACTCAGTAGACCAGGCTGGGCTTGAAGTCACAGAGATCTGCCTGCTTTTGCCTCCCTATTACTGGAATGTGTAATAAAGGCGTGCACCACCACCACCTGACTCAACCTGCTTTCTTATACCAACCATGTGACCACCTGCCCATCAATGGCACTGCCCACAGTGTACAAGGCCCTCCCACATCAATAATCAATCAAGAAAATACCCCATAGAATTGCTTACAAGCAAATCTCAGCTAATGTTTCCTAGTTAACAAAAAATCAACCAGCACACATGCCCACATATTACATCATATATGTGCATATATTATAACAAATAAAAAATGGTGATGTGTGTGATGGCATACACCAGTAATTCCAGACAGGAGGATCATGAAATCAAACCAGTTTGGGCCACACAGCAACACTATGTCCCAAATTAATCAAGAGCTGCACATTCCTGTCACCCTAGCATTGAGGAGGTAGAGGCAGGGAGATTGCTCATTCAAGGCCGGTCTAAACTACGCAGTGAATTCCAGATCAACTGGGGCTATATAATGAAACCCTGAAAACAGGAACAAGGGCTATGGTACAGCTCAGTGTTAGAGCATTTGCCTAGTTCGGTTAGAGCCCCAGCCCACCCAGCATCGGATCGGATCAGCACAATGAAATACAGCTGCATACTTCTTAGCTGTCTGAAATGAGAACAATTAAGCCATGGAGGTTGCTCAATAGAAGAGCATGTGACTGGAGGCCCTGGGTTTGATCTCCAGCACCAACAAACACTCACAAAGCAAAATTAATAACAAGGCTATACCAAGTATTGGTTCAAAGTGTCGAGCAGCCAGCAGTCTCGTGGTTGTGGAACTCTGTTCTCTAGGCATGACGTGGCTGCCTCCATCTTGCCATCAGAGCAGCTGTGAATACTTGCAGAAGACTGACCCCAGTGATGTTCCCTTGTGACGGGGAGGGCGGGGTGCACGAGACTCTGCCTCTCTCTGAGGATACATGAGAAGTTCACAGTTGCTTGGTGGAGACTCTTGGTTGGGTAGCTGCCATAAATTGCCTGTGTTCTTTAAGTAGCCCTTAACCCATGCTTTTGCAAGTAACCCCAATTAAAACTATTGTTTCATCAAGCTAAACTTGGGCGAATTGTTTATTTACTCCACTTGGTGGACTGTGTTTGTGACGCTCGTTCATCTCAGGAAAAGTTAATGCAACACTTACACTGGTAGGCAGGGGAAATGGTTTGGCCATCTTGGAAAACAGTGTGTTTTCTTCTTCTTCTTCTTCTTCTTCTTCTTCTTCTTCTTCTTCTTCTTCTTCTTCTTCTTCTTCTTCTTCTTCTTCTTCTTCTTCTCCTTCCTCAGATTTATTTATTTATTATGTATACAGTATTCTGCCTGCATGTATCCCTGCAGGCCAGAATAGGGCACCAGATCTCATTACAGATGGTTGTGAGCCACCATGTGGTTGCTGGGAATCGAACTCAGGACCACTGGAAGAGCAGCGAGTGCTCTTAACCTCTGAGCCATCTCTCCAGACCCCTTAACCTCTGAGCCATCTCTCCAGACCCCTTCTCCTTCTTCTTCTTGAGGTGGGGGTTTAATATGGGGTTTCTCTTTGTAGCTTTGGAGCTTGTCCTGGAACTCACTCTGTAGACCAGGTTGTCCTTGATCTCACAGATATCTGCCTGCCTCTGTCTTCTGAGTGCAGGTTTTAAAGGCGTGTGCCACCACTGCCTGTCAGGATGTTTCAGGACTGGCTCCAAAGCTACACAGGGAAACCCTGTCTCGAGAAAAAACAAACAAACAAACAAAAAGTTGAACAGTATCAATTGGATGTGGTGGTTCATGCCAGTAATCCCAATACTCAGGAACCTGAGGCAGGAGGATGATGAATCTGAGGCCAACCTAAACTATCTATAACATTTCACTCCTAGATGTTTACCCAAGAAAGGAAAGCATATCTTCACATAAAGCATACATAAATATTCAGAATAGCATTGTTTTTATTTATCTTTAAAATGTATGTTAACCTTTATTTTATGTGTGTTTTGGTGTGGTGATGGCAGAGGCCCATATATATGGGGGGGAGAAGAAAGAGAGGAGAAGAATGTAGCTGGCTGTCTTTACACACTTACATAAACTTCTTTTAAAAAGGCCAACTCTTCTAAAAACAGTAAGCAAATTAATGATTACCTGGAAACAGGAAGGGTAGGAAGAAGGAAGAACAAATTAGAGGAGGCAACTCAGGGATGGAGGGTGGGGTGCACTCATCATCTGAAAGGTGCTGATGGTTCATGGGCCATGCACACATGTCAAACATTGTTACGTTTCAAGGATAACTTCCAAATAAAAACTCACTGCGTCAGTTACTTTTCCTGTTGCTGTGACTAAACAAACACCACCACCAACAACAAAATGGACTAAAGCAACTTAAGGGAGAAAGCACTTATCCTGGCTCACGGTTTAAGGGTACAGTCCATCACAGTGGGGATGCCCTACGGGCCGGAGCTTGTCATAGGCCCACAGTCAGGAAGCAGAGAATAATGGAGGCTGGTGCTCATCTCATGCTCTCCTCTTTATTCAGTCCAGGACCCCGGATCCTGGAATGGTGCTGGGCACATTTAGGGTGAGACTTCCGGTCTCAATGAAGTGAATCTGGAAAACCCTTCAGGTATCAGAAGGCTTGTATCCCACATGACTCTATATCGGGTCATGTTGACAGTTTTAACTATCACAGTCACTTGTACCTAAGTAAAATCAGTCTGGGGCTAGCAAGATGCCTGAGTGGGGTAAGGGTTTTTCTCAAGCCTGAGGACCCGAGTTAAATCTCCAAATCTACATAATAGGAGGACTGCTGCCTCCAAGGACTGATTGTCCTCTGCCCTCCACATGCATACACGCATA